CATTTTTCAGTCCATTCAAAGGGTACCTCCTTTTTGGTCAAATTTGTCATGTGAGTGGCAATAGAAGCAAAGTTCTTCACAAATCAACGATAGTAGCTAGCGAGCCCCACAAAACTCCTAACTTCCATCACGGAGCTAGGCCGAACCCAATTCTTAACTGCCTCAATCTTTTGGGGATCTAACATTACCCCTTCTTTTGGAACTACATGCCCCAAAAATGCAACCGAAGTCAATCGAAATTCACACTTAGAAAATTTTGCATACAACTTTTGTTTCCCAGGAACACCTAGAACAATACGAAGGTGGTCGGCATGCTCTTCCTCACTTTTCGAATAGATCAAAATGTCATCAATAAAGACTATAGAAATGTATCCATAAATGGCTTGAATACCCCATTCATTAAACTCATCAAAGTTGTGGTTTCATTGGTCAACCCGAACGACATAACTAGAAACTCGTAGTGCCCATAGTGGGTTCTAAACGCTGTCTTGGGCACATCCTTAGGCCTAATTTTCAACTGATGGTAATCAGACCTTAGATCAATCTTATAGAAGACTGATGCACCTTGCAATTGGTCAAAAAGATCATCTATTCGAGGCAATGGGTATTTGTTTCGAATGGTTAGTAATTTATACATATCCTCATACTACCATCATTTTTCTTAACAAATAAGATAGGAGCACCCCACGGGGAAGCACTACGATGGATGAATCCTTTATCAAGAAGTTCTTGGATTTGAGACTTAAGCTCTCTCAATTCTACCGGAGCCATGCGATATGGAGGGATGGACATGGGACGAGTACCAGGTTCTAAATTGATGCAAAAATCTATATCTCTATCCGGAGGCATACTAGGCAAATCTGTAGGAAACACTTTTCTAAATTCTGACACCACTGGAATAGACTCAATAGATGGAGACTCAACCTCAACATCTCGAATATGAGCCAAATAAGCAAAACAACTCTGCCCCACTAATTTTCTAGCCCGAATAGAGGATATGATCTTAGCTTGCTTAGGTTGTACACCCTTCCCACTCTAATTTTTCCCTTCTCGAAATTTCTAGAGTCACAGACTTAGTATTACAATTAAGCACAACAAATAGGGGGACAACCAAGTCATGCCTAAGATTATGTCAAAGTCAGTCATATCCAAAATCACCAAATCAACCCAAATTTGAAAATCCATAAATAAAATAGGACAAGCACAATAGACATGGCTGACTATGACAGACTCTCCAACTGGGGTAGAAACATGGATAGGGGCATCAAGTATATCACAAATCATAGCAAATTAATTCTGAGGCAAATCGCATGGACACATAAAAATAAGTAGAACCCGGATCAAATAACACGTTCGACATCCGGTCACAGATAAGAATAGTACATGTGATCATTTTTCGAATCGAAAATAGGATTCTGGGAGTGGAAGCCTTACCTTTAGCCTCAAGAATGGTGGAAAACTGTCAAGAAAACACTTGGGATCGTTCCTTAGTTCTCAAAGTTGAAAAGTGCAGAATAAAATATTTTTGGGATTTATTTTCGACTTAAGTCACGACTGTCCCGCCACATCGGTCCTCACCCCGCTACAGCGTCCCCGCCCTGGCGGGAAAATCCCGCCTTAGTGGCTTGCACGAAAACAGTGAGCAAATTTAAGAATTCCAAAACCCCCATTTGACAACAAACCTTCAACCAAAGACACTCAAAAACTACTCGTTCACGCTAAGATCAGTTACGGGAGTTCTACTCACCCGAATTCAATTCCGTAAAGTCGAACAGGTTCCTTAACGTCTTAGTTATCTACTCATGTGCTCAGAATCATAATTAAATCACTCAATTGTTACCAGATTTCCCTAGACTTTACTGACTCCAATTTCGTTCAAATCTAGACTAGGTTGAAAAATTCCAAGTTACTACGGAAAAAAATTTCGGCCCAAAATTTTCCCCCCTTGGCTTTTCTATAATAAAACAAACAAAATGTTGATAATCCAAAACATACAACAATCATGTAACTCTCACATCAATGAACAAACAGAGAAGATAATAACATGTTCATACTTAAGAAAATAATAAAGTAAACATACATGTAGTTAGGAGTGGAGACTAACATGAATGTTTCTTTTTGAATATTATAAAGTATGCAAAATATTATAATACACTAACACTCTGTTTGGATCATTGTTACCCATTGTATTGTATTGTATCGTTACTATACATACAATGTTTGTTTTGATTGTTACTTAAAATGTATTGTATTGTATTGTTAAATTTCGTTGTTATATAACAATGAAAACCTCCATTTTATGGAACAACCAATTTGGTGTGTTCCCATTGTTACTTAATTTCTTTTTCCAATTATATCTTTACATAATATTTCATAATACTATTTTACCCTTTACCTCTTATTATTTAATTCTAGTCAAACCTCCTATCCTAAAATAATTAACCCAGTGGTAGCTCCCTTCAAAATTAAGTTTGACGTCCAGGGATCGAATCCCTTGGTTAGCGTTTTATTTTTTAGTTTTGTACTTTCAGTTTTTTTTTTTTTAAGTTCCAGTTCCGATTTTCATGTTTTTTTTTTGTTTTTTTTTTTAATAAAACGTGCTAAAATGTGGTGTTAAACCCAAAAAATTCAAGGGTCCCATACTCCCATTCCTAAAAATTGTACCTATAAACTATATACTACTACTTCCTTGAAATTTTATTTTGTTGGCTTTTTTACACGTTTATACTTTTATTTTTCGAACCCCCTGAGCGAAAATCTTGGGTCCGCCACTGAACCCAGACACTTCCTTTCCATAAACTTAAAGAAAATAAATAAAGAATGCAAGAATAAAAAATAATGCTAGTAAGGATTACTAACTGGTTAAGCAGATAATTATTTTAACAAACAAAACTTGATTTTCCAATTCAACTCAATACAGCAGCCAAGAACAGAACTTTGAAAGTATTATGCTAAGAGAATTCTTATATTTTTTTAGAGTACGTGCGTGTTGTGCTAATAAAAACGTAAGTAAAGAACGAAATAAGAGTCTTGTTATAGTAAATAAGAGGGAACATTAGTAAGGAAAAAAATATTAATTTAGAGCAAAATCTGAAATATTATTTTCCTTAAACAAACAAGGAGGGAAAAATTAGTAAACTTTTTTTACAAAAAACGAGCAAAGCCTTATCAAAATTAAACATGTAAGAATTTGTCTAAATTTTATCTAGGACAAGAAAGATCAATTATGAGCAGCCCATAAGTTAATATTATGTAAAATTAGGCAAAAAGAAATAATTATGTTAAATAAAGAAAAGAAATAAGTATGCAACCCAAATCAAGTGTCAATATTTACACGTTATAATAACTTTTACCATAACCAAAGCAAGTAAAAAAAATCTGGTTAAAAAAATCTGGTAAAATTTATATAAGGTTAAATGAATCAATTTAAAGCATTAGTAATGTAAACTTAGTCATGCAAAAGAATTAGTCTATATTAAAACAATTTGTAATAACTTAAATGCAAGACTAAATCAAGACTCAGTCAGTAAGGAGAATTGTTCAAATTGATTAGAAAACAAATAATCAAATTGGAAAAAATTGAATCAAATCTTTCCGTCAAGATTCACTGAGTCAAAATCAAGAATCATGAAACTAGTGTAATCATTTAAAATTTATTTAATATAAACTCATAAAATGATTCAGATTATATTAAATTTATGAATATATCAGTCCAAATAAATGTTATGGATTAATATAATTGGGTTAATTATTTAAATTCAATAAATATGAATTTAATTAGAGTCCACTCTATAAAGTCCATATGTCATGTCACTTAAATTTGATTGGCCGAAAGGAATCGTGTTCCTATCACAACTACTATATTCTAAAACTATAAATAGGGGTCCTCATAATCCATAAAAGGAACCAATAATTCTAACAAGAAGCTAGAGAAAGCTCATGGATCAAAAGCTGCAGATTTCTCTACAAGTTCACGAATTCAAGAATTCAAGAACGGTCAAGTTCAAGAACGATCAAGTTCAAGAATGATCAAGATCAAGAACGATCAAGATCAAGACCATCAGTTTCAAGAACAAGCTCGAAGCGCTTGAATTCATGTAAAAGTCAAGATCAAGATAAAGTTCAAGTTCATCAAAGATTCAAAACAAGCTCCAAAGCCCTTGAATCCAGATCAAGATCATCAAGTCAAGTCCATATCAAGTTCATAAAATCCACAAATCAAGATCAAGATTCAAGATCAAGCTTGAAGCCCTTGAATTCAAGTATAAATTCAAGATCAAGATCAAGTTCAAGTTCATCAAAGATTCAAGAATAAGCTCCAAAGCCCTTGAATCCAAAATCATCAAGTTCAAGTCCATATCAAGTTCATCAAATCCACAAATCAAGATCAAGAATACAAACACTACAACATTTTATGTGTTTAACCACCCCAGAAAAGTGTAGCCAAAACTATGAAAAAGTGTGGTCTTTGATCAAACGCCACACTTTTCGACATTAGGCTACACTTTTGTAGGGGTGGCCTAAACTTGTGTAACCCTTGCCCTAAGGCCACATTTTTCAAGTGTTGCTTTAGAAAACAGTTCGTGAGCGTTGCCTTAGGCCAACAAGGGCCACGCTTGTCACCCATACTATGACAACAATTTTCATGATCTCAAACTACACTTTTAAAGTGTGCCTTTTCTATCTTATAGGCAACAATTTAAAAGTGTGGCCTTTTTTATCCCCTCTAAAACAAACATTTGTGAAATGTTGCCACAATTTTATTTTGCATATATTCCGTAACCATAAAATATAATATTATCCTATTTAGATGGTCTTAAGCATTAAACTATCTAATAAACAACTCAAAATAATTTTAAATGTATAGATTTGCAATAATCTTCAATAAACAGCACAAGTAGTATAATACACATTGAAATAACATTTCAAAATATGCATTTGCAATGAACTGAAAATAATAATAATTTGTATTTAAACATTATTATTCAAAAAGTCTTTCATTGATATATCATTGACTTTGAGGTCACCATCTCAAATTGGATCTTCCGCATTTTCCTACATATTCATAATATGAAATTTAAAATTACAAAAAAATCAATTAATAGTATGTATTCATATAGTATCATCAAATAATACAATGCCATGAATTTAAAAAAGAATTAATCATGAAGAATTAAAGGAATATCATTAAAACTTAAATGGAAAATGAATAGTGTTTGATGCAAAAAAGTGAAGAGCGCTAAACAATTTCTTGGACTTTGTAAAAGTTTGTTTCAATGATAACTCAATGAATTCATACACCTCAAAAAAGAAAGCATTGGTCAGCGATTAGCTAGAAGAGGAAAACTATGAGTAATTTCAACTTATAAGTAAGCAAATGAAACCTACATTTTACACCAAACTTCTAAAATAAAACTAAAATATATTTAAGAGGTTTCAGATGAGAGAAAATCCTTAAGAAATCAACACCACCACATCATATGGCAAGTGAAAACCTTTAGATGTTTCCGAACGTGGAATACAGTTCAAATTCACTAAACCTAAAGCTACTTCAAAACGCACATCCAATTCGACAAGCAATAATCTAAACGTTTAGTAAATTAGGGGTACTGCAACAAGAGCACTGCATCACTATATTTTTTCTCCCTTTGTCCCTTTTAATAGCTAGAATTCTAATGACTATAGCTTAGACTTACATATTGTAGCATATTTTTGCTGTCACACTAAAAGGAAGTAATGTTCTTGATATTTCCATACATGCAAAGCCATGAAACTGAAATAGTGAACCAAAAATTGCACTATGATACAAGTAAACAAGATACTTATTTGTAAGGGAAAATGAAGGTAATTTTATTGCCTACCAATTTACTTGGATCCATGTAAACATGCAAAAGAGATTTCATTACGGGATACTTCTTCCATATGGCAATGTCAAGTCATGGCTGAACCTTGAGAATAGCCACCAATGCTTTCAACTTGCAAGAGACAAACAAATAATAATGTAGGAATCACCATTATACTAACATTGAAGATACCAATATAGTTATACGCTTGTAAAAATTGGTAGTCTTTCAAAATTTTAAGAGATTGTTATAAAATATTATAGTGTGGATGTCCACTACACCAAGAAGTTACTCTCACCCACTATCTCCATTACTTACCTCAATTATGAAGATAACCAAACCTCCATAACCTCCAACTTTATAACCATTATTCTTGTAACCTTTCACTTCCATAACCTCCTCCATTATATTCATGTTAATGTCATGTTTATGACTAACCTTTTGTATGCCTCTATGTTACACTATAAATAGATGCATAAGGGTTCATAGTTTAGACACTTGATTGTTTGGAAGAATAAGAAAAGCTCTCATCTCTTGTCTTCCTATTTCTATTATCATCTTCAATATTTCTTGTCTTATTTTGTTTTAGTTTTACAACACATTACCAGCACGATTGTTCTACTATTGAAGGATTGAAGCAAAGTAAATATAAAGAAGATAAAAATATTTGTGTTTATTTTTCTCTCGGAAACAAGGTAAATTACTAAATAATCTATTTTATATTTTACTTTTGATTATGCATCATTAGTTTTCTTACCATCTCAAAATCATATGAGTCCAATAAGTTGCTTTTACTTTGAGCAAACTTTTAATTTGATCACTTATATATTTAAAACATAAAATTAGTTTTGTAAGTTAATAATTTGTAAAGAAATTGTTCTTGATGATCTTGTTTTATTAAAAGATAAGTTGTTGAGTTATGCGGCATATACATATTGATTGGATTATCATTATTGATTACTTTTGTACCTCTTTATTTTTCTTTACATTTACTTATTGAGTTATTAATATATTGTTTTTACTAACAAAGTTTGTTTTGTGGTTATTTTAAAATAGTTAGTAAATTAGGTTAAATCTTCATAACAATATTGAGAAGGTATGTTAAAAAGGTTTAATTCATTTTAACTTGGGACTTTTACATGATTCCAACATGTTGTTCTAATTAATTGATTTTGTTCATTTTTCTTATGATTTAAGTCAAATTCAGATTATATTTATGAGTTTCGATATTTATTTTTTTGGTAACGATGTGATTTATTAAGACAATGATTGAGCGTAAGATGATGAATTCAAGTTTCATCGCACCAAGTGTGTAAGACATCGAGTTAAAGTCTCGGTGCGTCATGATAATAATATGTTGGGTTCAAGTCCCATTGATTTATGGGCTAAGGCTTCTTTATATGGATAAGACATTGGGTTTAAGTCCTAATGCACTATAGTGATAATATGATGATGACTAAGGCAAAATGATGAACTTTTAGTGAAAAATCATAAAATCCACCCAATTGATTTGCTCCATTCTCTTATGTAAATGTGGTACCAGTGTATAATATGTCTGAAAGATGACAAGTGATTTAATGTATGAATATAGGCGTGGTAAAATGTTAATGATCATCATTATGGTAATTAAAAGGAAGAACAATATGGATTCTTAAGATGATCCTTCAAAATGTGAAAGTAATTTTTATTCATTAAAGGGGTATGAAAAGTTATTGGCCACATTATTGTTGGTGCAACCCAATTTGAAAAGTTTTGTAAATCCTCCATTAAAATAAAGAAATACAAAGTGATAGTACATTTGGTACATTTGACCTCTTAAAGTGATGTTGAGGTGAGTCACATAAATTTGATAAATGTGAAAGCATGATAATGAGTTTCTAATAAAAACTTATGGAGCATGTTCAAATGGTTATGGTCCATTTCTTAAAGAAAATGTGACTTGTGTTCCTATGGATGAGAAAATGTTCATATATTGTTGGATAAATGTCACATCTCACCTCTACGGGAGGTTTGAGAGATTGAAAAGAAATATTATGACATAAATGGTCATTTAGTCATATACTTTAAGTACTACACAAATATTGTGGTATGTTAAATTATGAACTATTGAAGGACAAAAGAAAAGAAAGAATAATTCTTTCTTATAAAGGTTGTGGCCATGACCAAAATAAATATTGTTGTGTGGTAACACAAATTTGTCATTGATTGTCAAGAAATAAGTCTTGCATTTTGTAATTCTAACCATGACAATAATAATAATTTTCTCCTTGAAGGAGATGGTCACCATAAGAATGGCTTTGTGAAATTTGTGGTAGTACACAAAATTAATTGAGAGTTCGAAAAGGGCTAATTTGTTACTATCCGTAGGAATGAAATTGTTTATAATATTGAGGTTGTAGTAAGTCTCAAATGAAACTTTTAAGTTTCGGAAGAATTGAAAAGAAAAAAATATTATATTGAGACTATAAATTATGGGAGGATTTAATATCTTCAAATTAGTACAACCAAAGTGGGTCATAAATGTTTACGTATAAGATTACCCATTTTTTCTCGTTGTTTGTTGTATACAAATATGGACATGATGATGGAAGCACATGCAAAAGTAAACTAGAAGTTTACTAGAATAAATATTAGTTGGCATAATCGATTGGCCATTCCGATTCAAATGTGATGCAAAAGAAATTGAGAATTCATGTGACTATATGTTTGAAGAAATAAAAGATTCTTCAAGAATTCTCTTGTGTTGCTTGTTCTAATGATAAAATGATCATTGTACCAGCTAAGGTTGAGATTGTATCCCTTGAAATTATTTGGAACATATAAAAAGGTGAATATGGACCCGTTCACCTATCATGTGGACCGCTTACTATTATGATTTAATAGATGCATCTATGGTATGGTCACATGTGCATTTGTATCAACTTACAAATTGGTTTTGTAAGATTGTTTGCTCAAATTGTTAAATTAAGAGCACAGTTCCAAACTATAAAATTATGTTGATAACACTAGTTGGTTTAGCAGAAATTGTTTGCCTCCAATTATAGATAGACCACTGATTATGAGAAGAAATCTCTCAAATAAAATTTGGTACAAGATGAGTTTATTTAACATGTATGCATCAAGCCAACAAGGTTCTCCATCACAATTGGTTCAGGGTCAGGTACCAAATAATTTTCATCTAAAAAATTTGATGTGCGCACATATGATTTTATTGCTCCACCACGCACAAAGATGGATCCCCAAATAAGGTTGGGGGTAAATGTTAGATTTCCTAACATTAGGGGGATATATGTTTAACAGCTGGAAATTATTTGTGGGGTGAATTATGTAGATCCTCGTTAAAAAAATGTGAACTTGAAGTTCAAGAGATAATTCATCTGTAAAATGTTACAGATAAATTACCAGATGTATTTGCTGACTTAATATTTTAATTAAGCTGCAAATGCTCCAATAAATAGTCCTTGAAGGACAGAGTCTATGATATGCCAGAAGCGTGATAGACTAATCGATTCCAAACGTAAAACTCCTTGAGGAAGGAAAGGAGCAAATATCAAAATGGTCATGATAATGAGGTAAGTGCGTTGAAAGAGAACTATGACATAACACTTCATAAAACCTTGACAAAGGTTCAGGTACCTGAAAATGATGAAAAATGAAGAGATCTCGATAAGTTATATCGTATTGGAATCGACATCAAAATGACTGTCGACGGTATCTTTGATATGAAGTAGCACTCAATGCTATAAATGGTTACGAGGATCTTAAATTTGAATATGTCATATAGTGTGGACAGATAAATGATTGACACTATTCAAGTATACTTTGTTTCACTTAAAAAAGTGATGTTTTTGATCTTATAGTTCATGGATCAAAATATAATGTCAATGTGGTACAAATAAATTATTGTGCGAAAGTATAACCGTAAGATATAAAGTGTGGTTTGTGCCTCGGGGTATAAATAGTTTTCGCAAAAATCCCGACATTATTAAGTGGAGATATATTCTCCAGTGGTGGATGCAATAAGACTTGTTTCAGTCTGACAATAGATGAAATACTTGAATATGCATAATGAATGATTATTATGTCTAACTAGATGATGAAGGTTATATGAAAATCTTGAAGGATTTAAAAGGTCTTAAAGCAATTCCATTGGTACCCAATGGTTTTGAGACTACTTAACACAGAGAAAAAATCTTTTTGATCTCATGAAAATGATTTAAAATATCACGTATTAGTGCAATTGGTGCACTTATAGATTGATGGTTATGCAATGCTAGAAGATTGTTTGATATACATAACGAAAGTTATGTGAAAGGATCGTCATATTATCATTCAAGTTATGCAGAAAACTAACAAAGCAAGTGACTCAACACATAGAAGATGTGTGATTTTCTTTCACAAAAAAGACGAGCTTCAATAAAATTGAAATGATCAATCCTGAGTCAGAAATGATTTGATTATGTAGATGCAGAATATTTATTTGATCTGCATAAAGCTCGATCGCAAATGGAATATTTATTTACATATGGAGACACAACAATATCTTGGAAATTCAAAGAATCACATTAGTAACCACTTCTTCAAATCATGCAAAAATAATATTGATCTATGAATTAAGTCGGGAGTGTGTTTGGTTGGAATCATGATCTATCATATTTAGAAAATATGTGATTTTCTTTTGAAAAGGATATTTCAGTCACCATATACGAAAACAATATATAGCTCAATTGAAGGGAGGATACAATCAAAGGAGATCAAACAAAGCATATTTCACCAAAAGTATTTTTCACACATGATCTTCAACAAAATGATGAAATTGACGTTCAAAGACCCATTCAAGTGATAATCTTGTAAACTTATTCACTAAGGATTGCCAACATCAATATTTGAGAAGTTGTGATATAAGATTGGAATGCATCGTCTCCGATATATCAAGTAAAGTTTTTATAGGGGGGAGAAAAATATGTGTTGTACTCTTTTTCTTAACCATGGTTTTATCCCAATTGGGTTTTCCTGGTAAGGTTTTTAACAAGGCAACTTTCAAAGCGTATTAAAATATATGTGTACTCTTTTTTCTTCACTAAGATTTTTTCCCACATGATTTTTTCCTAATAAGGTTTTAACGAGACATATTATCTATGG